AACCCTAAACCCTAAACCACGTCCTTTCGGGACAGGTCATGGGCCGCAAGTTGGTCGACCAAGTTGTCTTCGCGAAGAAATGAGACCAGAAGTCCTCTGCTTGCGGGAGCCGAGCCGAACGATGTCACTACTACTACCAATAACAATAATGATAATAACACTATCTAATAACAATAGCTACTACTGCTAACAAATTTGGGGCTAAGGGTTTGATACTAATAAAAACAATAATCATGCAGAAGCACTACTACAAGTACTAGCATTTTATGACCCCCTTCCACCAGAGGTTGAGAGACCACCAAGGCTCGTCTTCCAGAGCGTTTTAGCAGAAGCGTCTTGCATGCAGATAGGCAAGGCGCACGCCGCGCCGCTCTCTCGAAAGGTTCCTGCGCTCATTTAGGCCCCACATGGCCCTCTCAGGTCCTCTGTCGCCCGATTATGAAGGCCTGTCCTTTGTCTCACGCGGTGGATGCTGTAGTCTGCACATCCTCGCAAAAAGCCGGAGCCCAGGTGTTAGGCGCACTCCTAGGAACTGTGAAGCCGACAAACTTCAAGAGGATTCCAGCAGCTACATAAGACAGCTTCAAAGCTGAGCGGAACCGAGAGAAACAAAGTTGGGACACAGTTGCAGAGGATTAGAGGAGTATGCGACTATCTCTCGTCGATTTTTGTTTGCAGCCTCGTTGCGGCTGTTTAGCTTTTGCCAGGTTTGGTTCTTTTTTTAGAACTGGCTTCTAACACTTCTGCATGGTAATGCAGTCCTTTGCGAATGAACTGCAAGTGTGCATGCTTGCGATTGCCATTCACACGTCGCAGCTTATGATGCTTAAACGATGCCAGAGTGTGGATACCCCACTTCACGCGTGCGCAAGTCAGATCGTGAAAGGTGAGCCAGTCATCTTCTGTAGTGGCATGGTTTTACGCATGATGTTTTGCTTCCTCCACAAGTCCACCCAGTCATAGTGCAGGCTCACTCGATGAAACGTGAAACTGACTAGTCGGCCATACTTTTCCGTGGTCATGGCGCAGGGCGGTCAGGACAAGTTGCTGTGATGGAGGTAGGGATGAGTTTGAGGCTTCAGACCAGAAAGTTGAGGACATCTTCGTGACCACTGCTACTACCAAAGAGCTCGGTGTGGTGCTGGATTCGCACAACGCGCTGGTGCGTCCAGCTTGTTCGCGCTGATGTTACCAGTGCTTCTTCGGTTACTGCAATTTAGGGATTATATAGGGATTATATAACAGGGATCCCAATATAGACCCCAATATATTCTAATCCTTATTATGGGGACCCCACAAAGGCACCCCTGATTGGAGGAAATTCTGGCGCAGGCACAGAAGCTCGTGGACTTCCAGCAGCAGTTAGACGCTGTCAGGCAAAGCCAGGAGGCCAGCTAGAAGCTGCCAGCAGAAATGGGTTTAGGGTCAAGGGTATATCGGGATTATATAGGGATAATGGAAAATAAGATGGAAACTACTATTCAGGGTTTAGGGTTTAGCATTCAGGGTGTAGGGTTTAGGGTTAAGGGTATATTGGGCTTATATCGGGATACTGGAAAATGACATGGAAACTAAAGGGATTACAGGGTTATATAATTAGGGATTATATTCATTTTCTCTAAGTCAGATGTTTCGCTTCAATTCATTGAGAGTTTCCTGTCGCTCTTGCAGGAGGCATCGAAGGCCGCCGCCGAGAGGCAAGCCAAAGAGGAAGAAAGACAAGCAGCTGCTTCGCAGAAGCAAGAGGAGGACAAGCTAACTTGACTCATCAACATTTTGTGAACACGCGTGTGGGCCATGCTGCAGCAAAAATGTCACGATGCGCTACCATGCCCTGAAGGAGCAGAAGCATGTTGCTCAGCAGTTGGAGGAGTTGAAGGCATGAAAGAAAATACCATAATATACTCTCATATAGTAGTTTCCATTTTCTTTTCCATTATCCCTAGATAACCCCTAAGCAACCCCAATATATACCATATAATTTGCTGACACAACTTCCCTAAACCCAAGGGGTACCACAGGACAAGAGCTGCACTGCTTTTGACAGGCCCAGCTGGCGGATCTGGCGAAGGCTCAAGGAGCGCCGGATCCTCAAGCAGCGAGTTAGGGGTCTCAGGAATACTTATTTCTATTGTTTCTATTATTTTTGTTAGTTCTTAGTATTATTATTAGATAGAGGGCCTTAAGGCACGGGGTCTCTTCCTTTTTGTACGGGCTTCTGCACTTCACTTCACTAGGTTCTGCTGCTTTAGCGGGTTGCCGTCATATATACCAAGGTCTGACGAGAAGTTGGCGGCTCTTGAGGACTCAACAGTCCGGGACGTCAGAGCATCTTTTGGCGAGATATTGGGGGTTCCTATAAGAGGGTTATTACAAGGATATGTAAGGGTTATATGGGGGTTACACACGGGTTATCTGGCAGTTTCCCAACAGAAGGGAAACCCAATATAGACACTAATATATTATAATCCTCATAGGGACCCTCCAAAAGGTATCCCCAATTTTGGGAAACCACCCCAAAAATCATAAATCCCTTTAGAACCCCTATATAATACAGTAGTTTCCATTTTATTTCCCACTATCCCAGTAGGGATTTTAGGGGGTAGTATTCTGAGGCCTTTCCCGATGAACCAGGGAATCCTGAAGGGGACCCCATATAAAGGGGACCCATAAATAAGGACATGGGGCCCCCTTCCATGGAGTCCCCTTACGATTCCCCTTAGATGAATGTCAACTCTTGAGGCCACGGGCCTCAAGTCCCTGCAGCTGGCCATTGATGAGATGGGGACCAGCCAGGCAAGCCCTGAATCCGCTAAGGTTTTGGGTTTTTGGGTTGAGGTTTCAGGGGTTTAGGGTTTAGGATTTAGGGGTTTAGGGTTTGGGGTTTAGGGTTCAGGCCTCAGAGGTTCAGGGTTTAAACCTTCAACGCTCATGGGGACCATGGTGCAGCAGCCAGCTTCGTGTGCAGGCCGAGCTGAAGACGCGCCGAACTCGCGTGCTTGAACTTGCGATGTCTCTCCCACTATCATCGTCAGCAGCTTCATGACATATGACATTCGCCGCTGTTGCTGTTCGGGCATCATCATGATTGCCCCTAAGCTCTAAGCCCTGAACCCTAAGCATTAAAGAACTGAGCAGTAGACCCTAAACCCTGAACTCTAAACCCTAGACCCTGAACCCTAAACCCTAAAATCCTAAAACTGCAAGTCGCTGTCAGCCGAATACTTCAACCAGCCAGGCATCCTGCCCAAATGGGAGGCAGAGGTTGGTTCCCAGGCGCCTGGCCGGGCGTGAGTCGAGTTTTTGGTTTCAGGGGGTAGGGAGTTTGGGGGGTGTAGGGGGGTTCAGGTTGGCGGGTGTAGGGGGAATTAAGGGGGTTCAGTAATTTGGGGGGTTGAGGCAGTAGGGAGTGTAGGGTTCTGGGTTTTGAGGGGGTGTTGGGGGTGTAGGGTTCAGGGCAGGGGGTTTTAGGGAGTTTAGGGAGTTTAGGGGGTTTAGGGGGTTCAACTATGAGAATTGTAGGGGCTTGAATAATGGGATATTCATCATCTGGAATCTAAGAAGATTATATAGGGGTTCAGGGTGTATGGTTCAGTATTTAGGGTTGTGGGTTTAGGGTTCAGGGTTTAGGGTTGAGGGTTTGGTGTTCTGGTGACCTCGGCGTCCTTGCAGTCGGGGAGCTTCAACACTTGGCTGCGCTAGTTTGGTTTTGTCTCGGGTTCGTTGGTCAAGATGCGGTTCGAAAGATGGCCGCATACAGATGCAGAACCTATCAGCCCAGTTTTCTTGCACACGCGGTCCAGACAGCCGCCTTGGGTTGCATCCACGCATGATTTCAGTGATTTTGAATGTGCCACGGAAATCGGCACATAGCATGGGCAAGCAGCCCGGTGAGAGACCATACTTTGAGTGCTGTATGGCATGAGACATGAGCCCAATCGATGTGAAGAACCTGCTTGAATAGCAGAGTGATTGAGCCGTTTTGGCTTACGTGCAAGACGGCTATCATTTGTGATCATTTGTGAAGGTGACATGAGAGCAGATTTCGCCTTTGTGGCGCTGCTTCCGGCAAAAGTGTGTGAGTGGTTCTGAGCGGCGATTGCTGACTGCAGTCTGAGATTCAAGATAGTGGGGTTTCCAGTTTTCACATGGTAGCGGAGCGTTGAAAGTTCTTCCTACTAAAGTCCGCCAGCCCGGAGGATGGAGCCTTGTTCGCCGGGCACGATGGAGAGAGGAACAGGCACAGGGTTAGGAGCACCGCGCATGTCACGGAATAGTGCGCCAGGTGTGGCACCTTTCATGCGTGTGGTGCTCCACATGGGCACGGACTTTGCGGGCAACTTTGAGCCTAATAGGGCTGGCCAAGGACAAGCAGCGGCAGCAGGTGTGCCAGTGACGCTGTCAAGCGGAAGTTCCCTCAGTGGGATGCAGCAGCAAAACGGGAACGGTCAGCAAGGGTGGGCGGCTAATCGGGATGGTTGCCAGGACCAACATGGCTGCCCAGGAGTGAGTGCTCACCCAACTCAACCTAGCACAGACGACGTTGTGACGTTGTTACAGCAAGTGATCCCTCGATTGTCCCCACAACAGGCACAGGCTGTGCAGTGGGTCTTGGGAGAGCGGCTAACGCATCAGAGTCGGGGAGTGCTTGACAGACTTGGAGAGCTGCCGCAAGCCCCAATGCACCAAAGGTTTGTGCCAGATGCTTCTGGCGCTGTGCCAGCTGCATCAGGTTGCCAGGGTGGACCTCAAGGAAGGTTCAGGTTGGCATGTCGGGCATGACAGGGATGTGTTTATGAAGGCGGAAAAATGGCTTACACCGCTGCCCTTACCTGATGTTGAGAACTGGACATTGCGTGAAGCAGAAGTTGCTGGGTTTGCAGACTACTTGGTGCAGCTTCAGTCCTGGTCCAGTATGGGCAGCATGCGTCAGAGATTGATATGGCAAGTCGGTGGCCCGAGTCAATCTGGCAGGTGAACTTGACCGAGGACCGTTCGGCACGCTTGTTGGCTATCTTGCGGGGGGCATTCCAAACCCACGAGCGGACTGAGTTGATGACGCGTTCGTTCATGGAAGGGCTGT